CAGCGTGATTAATGTTACGAACCTTCTGCATAAGCATACAATGCATGTGCAAAAATGTGAGACACTGCAGTATTCTCAAAATCAATCACGGCAATTAAAAATCAATTAGAAAGTGCATAAACATCATCTACATTACCAACATATTTTATCTGAAAGATGTCAAGAATGAATCTGTGCATTTGTGTAAATAAAAAGAACATCAACCCGAGAGGAAAGGATTGTACAGAAGATTCAAACATGCGCTCATAATGCTGTCGTTTTGGTGGAATTAAATTTTTCTGGAGTAAAACGTCTTTGCATTTGGTTGTATGACTGTCTTTTTTAATGATTTACTTTGTTCTGTGCCTCTGCTGGCTGAACATATACAGCAGCCCACAAAAGTGTTTGGACATTTAAGCCTCAAATATCTAAATGTATTTGTATTATGTAACAAAAGGTGAAAACAAGTGGTGTTTACTAGATAGAAACAGAGCACTTATCAATCAGAAATTTCACTAGATGAAGTTTGTTAGGTTTCAAAATAGGAAGTGATTGTTCAAAATAAAGTCTTGGACACTTCCTGGCTGTCAAACGTTGTGACACTTTTCATATGTTAATGTGGTGAAATACAGTAGTGATGATTCTGACTTCATACGTCATATAAATCACCTTCAGACCAGTCAGTTTGGACTGACTTTTGAAAATTACTGAAAGTCTAGCTCATTTAAATGATTCAAAGTCAGTTCTGAGAAAAGCGCGAGTATCATTGACACTTGCTTTAATAAACTGTATCTAATGCAATGAAATTAAGACATTTTAAGTGTGACTTAAGTGTCCAAAAGCGTTCATCAAGAGATTGTCAGAACATCATACGAGCTGCTTGAATGAACTGAAACTGTGAGAACTGTGGAAGCCTGTTTCTCTCAGAATTGTATTTCAGTGCCTGCAGTGAGCGTGAGAGACCGTCTGACATGTCAAGGATGCCTCATTCTGGACGCATGTGTGTGTTTGATCTCTAGAGCGGCGGAATATGTGCAAATATTTACTCTGTCATTGCACATACATGTGACCATATGTACATGTGCTGCAGCGAGGGGATTTTGCCGGTGCTTTTTAAAGGAATAGTTCGCTCAACAATGAAAATGTGCTCATCCTCGGGGCATCCCAGATTAGGATGAGTTTGTTTCTTCATCAGGTTTGTAGAAATGTAGCATTGCATCAGTGTCTCAGCAATGGATGCTTTGCAGTGAATGGGTGCCGTCAGAATGAGAGTCCAAACAGCTGATAAAAACATCACAATAATCCACAAGTAATCCACACCACTCCAGTCCATCAGTTAACATCTGGAGAAGACAAAAGCTGAAACTAATCCAGCATTAAGACATTTTTAACTAAAACACATAGAGTCCATAATCCATAATAACACTTCCTCCAGTGAAAAAGTGCATCTGCTTTTTTTCTCTCACATCAAAATCCAGCCACATATTTGTTTAGAGCTGTTTAAACGCTGCTTGATCTGTGCAGATTTCTCTCCTGATTCACATGGTGCAAAACCGGAAGTTACGCTGGTAAACCATGTGAGAGTCTACCTTTGGATATTCCAGATTTCCTATGCCGGTGGGCTCTTTATAGTACGTGAAACGTGGAGGGGTGATTGTCAGACTAAAGGCCCATCTGCGGGCTGGTTACCTACCCAGCTCCGTCTTTCAGCCATGGAACGCAGACCCTAGCCGCTTCGCTGCTTGGCATTTGCCGGACGTTTCATCTCGATGGCTTCGTCCTGTTGTCTCTGGCTTTGTTGCTCCTTCTGACCCTCCGGTCCTGCCTCGACGTGACTTTTTTCCTCTGATTAAACTAAGGCCTTATCATGGCGATGTCTCACTGGCGAATCTTTGGTCATTGAACAAGGCTCCGATCTCACTGATGTTAGAGTTGTTGGATCTCTTATATCTGATCATTCTCATGTTATGTTTACTATGTCACTTCCTCAGCTTTCTCAGAAATCAGGTCTTGATACAAAACAAACACGCTTTTACTCATCTCATTTTTGCGAAGATTTTACGACGCTTTTTAACGAGGTCTGTACTCACTTGTCGCTTGAGTCTGCACTACTGAGCAGCATTTTAATGTATGTTTTAAGCTGTACAAGCCTAAAGCCGAGTCAGAACCTTGGTTTAGTCAAAATATTCACACTTTGAGACAAACTTGCAGGAAAGCAGAAAGAAGATGGAAAAACGACAGATTACAAATCTTGTATGAACACTTAAAGGATGCATTGTCTTTGTATCAAAGAGCTGTCAGGAAACCTAAAGCTACTTTCAGATCTGATTACTAAACATCATCATACATAAACTCTGTTATATCCCCCTGTAAATGTAATCTCAGACCCTTCTGTTGCACTTTATCAAGATTTTTTGCATTTTTTTCTGTGATAAAATCATAAACTTGAAAGACCAGTTACAGCTGGTGGATGCTGACATGGCTGAACATGTTAAAGTCTACTTTTGATGTTGTTACAATTAGTCGAGGAAAACATTTCAAATTAAACCTTTCTTGTGTCCGAACAATGTAATTCATCCTCAACACTTAAAACAAATAGTGGCCTCTGTGGGTCCGGGTTTGGTGTCATTTATAAATAAAAGTTTGCAAACTGGGTGTGTCCCAGATAGACTGAAATTGGCCACTGTTACACCTGTGCTGAAGAAACCTTAACTGTCCTAGCAAATTTTCACCTAAGATCCACCTTACCTTTTATAAGGTGTTGGAAAAAATAGTGCTCTTACAACTTCAGTCCTTTCTAACTGATAATCAGATATTTGAAGAATTTCAATCTGGGTTTTAGTCACGACATAGTCCTGAAACTGCCCTTTTTAGAGTCCTTAATGATATTTTTCACATATTTGCATGCAATTTGCATGGATTAGTGACAATTGGCCACTTTATTGAACTGGCGTTATCTTATAAGGTTTCAGGATTTTGGAGAAGTTCCCACTGCGAATGCTTCACAATGTAGAGGGAACGCTCAAAAGGGAACAACCATTTAGCCAACTGACCCATGGTAGAACCCCAAAAATCAAGAAAAAAAGACGAAAAAATCGAATAATAATAATAAAATCCAGTTGCTTCGCTCCTGGTGTGAGTTGCACCGCATGGAGGACAGAACAAAACCTCGTTGGAGCTGTAAGCTTTTAAATTAAAATGTATCTATAAAACAAAAGTTCTTCTTTGGCCAGATTAGCCTACACTTTCTTATAGCTGATGAGTGAATAATAAAACGGTTCTGCGAAATTGAGAACTTATGTCTAGCTTGTATACTCGACAACTTTGCACAGTTTACGCTACATTACATTTAGTCATTTAGCAGACACTTTCTTCCAAAGCAACTTACAAATGAGGACAATAGAGCAAGCAAAACCAACAAAAGAGCAACAATATGTAGGTGCTTTGACAAGTCTTGGTTAGCCTAACACAGTACACATAGCAAGGCTTTTTTTATAATAAATAAAGAGAAAAACAAGTAGATAGAATAGAAAAAAAGTCAAATCATCCTAGCAGCCGTAATTCAACCAATCTTAAGAAGAATAAGTGCATTTTCCTTCCTCTTCAGAGGGTCAGAATCTTGGACCCCTAATTAATGATTCTAGTAAAACAGAGAAAATGCATTTGATGGATGCATGTTGATTGAGTAGAAATTCCTATCTCATATGCTTCTCTGAACATCGTCTTCATTTCAGTCACGATCAGTCATCAGATCTTCACAACCTTCTAACTTTGATGTAGAGCCATCAAATCGATTAATCGCGACTAATCGATCCAGAATAAAAGTTTGTGTTTACATATGTGCATATTTATCATGTGCATATAAATACACACACATATACATGTACAGTATATATTCAAGAAATACTTATATGTATATACATATTATATTTTAAATTTTTCTTAAATATATACATGCAACACTCCTCTCTCTGCCAAATCAACAAATGACGTGACTTTCTCTAACTCTCTCTCTATGATGCTTCACACAGAAATGAACATTTGCTGGCAGTGTTGGCAAGTCTGAGGTTGGCAGTGGCGAGTGGCCCATCCAATTAGAAGTTGGTACAAATGTATTAAAAGATCATCTAAACGGATCTCAGACTGAGGTAATGCTTTACAACAAACTTCCTTTAGTTATTTGTGTTAGCTCATGTATGAATGTATTGTGTATTGAACTTGTGCTGTATTTTCTGTTGGCAATTTGACATGCAGTTTTCATAAGTGATAAAGTTCGGTCAAAAGTAATACACAAGTATAAATTATAATCAAAAAGTAGTCTGATTATTACCAAACATGCGTGTAATCAGTAAAGGACTGCGATTTGGAAGTAATGGACCCAGCAGGGTAGATATATCTGGCGTTATTATTAATAAACAAATAAATGAATCACTTTGTTTTCTTTATAGAGTTCCAGCACAAAGCGTAGTGTGGGAGGAGCGAAGCTTTTCGAAGCTCCGATTCAACTGAACCTATAGCTTCGCAAAACGATTCACTGATTCACACGAAGCGCTCGAGACGCCTGCTGGACAAAACTCTGCAAATGCAACAAAACTCGGGCCGAAACAAATATGCATGGACATTTTACAAATACTATTTTACAAACCCATTGCAAATGCTTTATTGAAAGTATAATACATTAAAATAACAAGATGCCATTAAATGTGAAGTGTCTGTGTAATAGGCTATGTGCTTTTTTAAAACAATTCTCTGGGCTTTGTTTGATTTATTTTTTTTTCTATAGAAACATTCACATTCAACATTTTACATTAGCCAGGGGGTGAAGACAAGGAAAGGAGGATATAACATTACATTGAAATGTAAAAAAAATAAAAACATGGAGATGCTTACACTTAACAGCGTGCTTGTTTATCAGATGATAGACAGATTTTAGGCAAACCGCTGAAATCCCGGCACGTTTCGCAACAGTTGTGACGTCACGTAGCCTCGTTCACTGAAAGCACGTGACTTCGGCGGCTTGAAACACTGTTTCACAAAGAGGCTTCGAAGCTTCACGAAGCGCGCATCAGCCCTGGACTCTTATTCTGAAACCTTCGCCTTCTGCGTGCTCATGGCTGGAGAGATCTTCACTGAAGCGTCACATTAGCGGAGGATCTTCCTCATCCTCTTCCTCAGGTGACTGTGAGTGTGAGTGAGTGTGTTTTGCGTAAGCAAGCATATAAGAAACCGGTCCGAGAATGGAGCTTGTACAGTATGTAGTCACAGATGCACATTAGCGTGATGGTTGATTACAGTAAAAACAATAGAAACCATCGCAGAATGTGTAGTGGTTTTAATGGGAACTGTAACGGTCCCTGTGGGTCTGTATTGGTGGCTTGTTAAAACCACTAAATCCTAATGGAAGTGTCCCAAAACATGCTACAGCAAACCGTGTTTTGAGTGTTTTAATGGTTAATAGTTGCTGGGTTGTAGGGCTGCCACTAACGACTGTTTTTATTATTATTATTAACCTATCGACTCATTTATCGATTAGTCTAAACCAGTGTTTCCCAACCTTTTTTCAGTCGCGGCACCCTTTGGAAATGTTAACAAACTTGTGGCACCCTACAAAATTAATTTTGTCACAATATTTGAATTTCTAACTTCGATGTGATAATTTGAAAAGTATAGATATTCGGT